CGCCGCCGGCCTGGAGCTGCAGCCCGAGGTGGTGGAGCCGCGCTGGGCAGCCCTGGGGAGCCCCGGCAGCGAGAAGGTAGGTCGCGCCCAGCGCTTTATTTATATTTTGTTTTCAAGCCTCCGTATCGTTTCCAGGGGGAGGAACGATGTCGCGGTTAGCACAGGACCTTGCGATGTGCGTTTTGTTTTAAGCTGAGCTCTGTGACAAGCCGCAGGGATGAGCCAGAAAGCCCATGTGCAGCACGGGGGGCTGCTGCCGCTCCTCCAAATCCCCGAAGGGCTGGCTGAGCTGGCTGGCCCATCTCGGGCACTGAGCGTGAGGCTGCTCCTGGCGACTTGCATTCACCCTGCGCAAAGGCTTGGAATCGTTCACCCTCTGTCATGCTTTAAAGCCTGGATCAAGTCTACCTGATCTGTATGTCTGTAAAAGGGGAGGGAGGCAATACAATCCGTGGCATTTAGGGAACAGCCGAATAGAGGCATCTGCTTTAGGAGGAGATTAATCCCAGCTGTGAGGGTGCTTCACTAAGGAAAGCCAAATAGCAGCTCAGGTGTGTCTAACTGTCTCTCAGGCACCATATGTATTGATATAGATTTCACCCCCGCTTCTCTTACGTGGACAGATGAAGTGGTGTGTCAGTATTCCCCAGCTATTCTGAGAACCGCTGGGGTACCAGGCTTAACCATCAACCACAAACTGCGGTTCAACTTCCCAGTATTTGCATTGCCACAATCACTAAGTTATCAGTTGCATAATCAAATGAAAGAGGAAAATCCAGATGATGTTATTTATGTTGTGAATCAGAAAAAGGGAAGCTGCAGCATTACACTAAAGAAAAATCATGGCATCTCCCCATAAGCGGTGTTGTTTTGGGGTTTATGTCCTCTCCATATGATGAGACTTTCTAAAACTTTTTATTGTGTCATATTAAGAAAAAAAGCTACAACGACTCTCTCATGATCTTAATTCTCTTTAAAATGTCCTTGCAGTGCTGCCTAGAAGTTTTGGTTCCCTCTACTATTGATAGTGATACAAATACATCTGGACAGCATTTCCCCTTATACAAATTTGCTGGGTCTCAGGGGTCGTACTTGGTTTGTTTCAGGCGAGTTCCTGTTGGCTCTAAAACCAGTGTTAGCAAAGCTTATGTACAGCTGGGATATTTCAGTTACACAGCAATTGATGGACTCTGAAGTAGTGGGATTACTGAAGGAGAAGGGAAAGCGTTATTAGTAATAATGATGTTTGCACAACCTTTGTGAAGAGACTTTTGTGATGAGGGAGACCCTTAGACCCCCCCAGTTATGGGCAAGGCAACCTCTGTTGCTTACATGTTAGATAGCAAAACAACAGACCTACCCTGAGATGTACTGAGCACCTGTGATTCAGTAAACTAAACTCAGCCCCTCAGAATTAGCTGTTGTTGTATATACTAAATGTATTAACTTGTTTTGCATCATCTGTGTGGGCCTGGTGCAATGTGCCGGAAACTGAAAAACAAAACCCAGAATATGAGCAGGGAGTTGATGAAAGGAGAAGTTTGTAACTGAGCTTGGAACTGATGAAGTGGCAAGCGAGCGTATCTCTGGGCTGACAGATCTTTCATCAGAACATCCTATTCAGTCAGCCTTGCTTTATCTTGCTTTCAGTTGATCTGTTCTGCAAAATCCACTCAACGCCGAATTAGGAAATACTACAGGTTAATAATCTCACCGGTTTCTGTGATTATTTTTTTCTTTTTCTTCCAGCTGAATAGAGAAGTCTGTTTTTATAAAATGGATTATTTCTCTTCTGGGGAGTTTATCCATCAGTTTCCTTTATGAGAAAGCACTCAGACTCAGAAATCCCCAGCTGATCTTAGCTAGTGGCCCTGCTTTGAGGGAGGTAAAACTGGAGACCTCCAGAGGCCCTTCTAGTTGGCTCTCTAGAAAGCATATTCTATATTTTCAGTCTTCTGAATGATTTTTTTTTTTAAATGTTGGTTTTAGTGTATGCATTTCCCATTGCACTATGAAATTAGGGTCCTTTCTGTTAACACCAGTAGGCCTTGGGGAGCCGGCTGTCCTGTGTCCTCATTCAGAGCTGTAGGCAGATTGCAAACCAGGGCTGTGCCCGTGTACTTAAACACACTAGAAAGTTGCTGTCATGGTTTCCAGTCCCTTGGCAGCCTGGGACTAATACAAGAGCAGCTGTGAAATACTGTCTGAACAATGGCTGGAGCCTAAAGACGTCTAAGGGACCCCGTTGCATGCCTTCTATTGGCAATTTCTGCGAGTAAAGGAACTATGTGAAAATTTTTAGAAGAGGTGTGATTCCTCCTGTCCTGAAATAGGCTCCTAAAAATGTCTTTTTCTGCTGTAACAACAAAGGAAGCTTTGGTTAACTAGCTCGTATATTTGACTTGTAAACCTCTGGTGCAAGTTAGGATGTCCTGTGATGTGGTCCTGAGCATAGGAGAAGGGGGTGCAGCGCACCCCTCCCGCCCAGCTGCACCTCCAAGCGCTCCAGTGCCAGGACTTGTTGCCTCGTCTGAGCCCATTAATCCTCCTGAGACACCAGGGTCACTAGCTCAGATATGGCATCCCACCAGCGTGTCTGTATTGCTTCCCGGCTCTGCGTGGCTGTGCTGCGGGGATGCAGCAGCGTGCCTGGAGCTGGGACGGGCCATGGTGGCTTCCTTCCCTTCCCCAGCGCTCCAGGTCTGAAGGTAGGAGGAAGGCGAGGAGTGGTTTAAGGTCAGCTGCAATTTCCAGGGGAACAATTTGTGTTTCTGGATGTGTTCATAATTACGATGATGTACAAGTAACAGGCACCGTCTCTTTTGCACTCAGCATCCCTTCAGAGCTGAAGTTAAGGTAAAGGCAGAAGGCCGGGAGCTCATCTTGGAATTGGAGAAAAATGGGTAAGTGTGCTTATGCCTTGCTGTGGCAATTGTGGTCTCGCTAAAATAATGAATGAGGATTACAGTGAAGTCAACAGGAAAACCTCCACTGACTTCAGCAGGGTTTTGATAAAGACAGGATGAGGAAGTCCTTTTCTGGATTTCAAGGTTATTCCAGGTCTGAGTCCCCACTGATGTTAATCAGCCAAGCAGTGCTGACTGTAACAGAGCTTTGTCAGCAAAAAGCAGACGGTGACCTGGCCCTCAGTGAGTGAACTTATTTTTGCATCATAATTCTTGCTACATTAACTAGAAAATGTTGCTGATATGAAGTGCACTATTTACCAAATGGCTCCATGCTTTAGAGTCAGTGTGACTCTAATGAGGATTTCATTTGCTGTGATCCGAAAAGGTCCTGCTCCGTTTCCTAGGAGAAACGATCTGACAGTTTCGATTCCATTAGTGCCCTTCATGCTAAAGCAGACTGAAAAAATGCTTTTATATTAACTGAAATGCAACCTCCTCTCAGGCATGATACAGCAATGCTGTGTGATATCATAGGGCATGATATGTATTGAATTCAGCTGCAGGAGATTAAGGTAGGTAGAAGGATTCTGGTCTGGAGGCTGCTCCAGAGGCTTTCTGCCCTGTGAGTACATTAGTTTCCAGTGGTGGAACAGCAGCTGGAAATGTAGCTGCAGTAAGCTTGTCTTTGCTAAGCAGTCCACTTGCACTTATGGTGTTTTATTTATTTTTAAATGGGTCAGAAGATTAATCTATGGAAGCACAACCAAATGTTTGTCTGCTAGAATCAGTAGGAATAATAACCTTGGAATAGTGACCCTGGTTATATTTTAAACGTATTTTATGGACATCCCACCACAGAGCTTGGTGGCTCATCTTTCCTTCTGAAAGAGTGAAGTGTCAGAAGATCTTATTAGTTCTGATGGCAGTCCATAAACCTAAATGATATTCAGGGCCTTCTGTAGGCAAACCAGATTTTTCTTGGCACTGTCTGCAGTAAAGACTGAAATCCGATGGCTGATGAAAGGCGAGTACATCTACAAGGTGTGTTCTGTAATAGGCCACATAAGCTACTGGGAGTTTTAGTGCTGCAAAAGCTGGACACGTTTCCCAGGCAGTCATGCACCTGTGTAGAACTTTCTGCAATTGCTATGCAAAGGTGAATTTATTTCTGGCACAGTAGAAGCTGGCAAGGGCAAGGATCCTTGCTGAAGTAATCCATTTGTGCTCTGAGCGTGATGACGTAACCTCCAGGTGCCTTGCGGGAGCGGTGCTGTGCTATTTCCACCGCAGACAAACTCATTGCTGGTGCTAGTAAACAGAATTATAATAATAGAAGATTTCTATTGTGTTTATTTCCTGAAATGCATTTTCATTCATTGAGATGTATACACACAGGCTTAAGTGTGTGCACACACTTCCACTGTGGGATGAATCGCCTTAGGTTTGGAGTTTTTTGTTTTTATTTTCTGTGGAAAATGCAAGTGATTCATAGATAGCAGTGCTTCACATGGGAGTCTTGCCAGGCCTCAAGTCCTTGTTCAAGAAAGGTGATGGTACAATCCCAAAATGCAAGTCTGAACTTGATTAGATGAGAGGCTCTGGAGAGCCACCACTTTTCAGAGACTTGTGAAGGTGCAGAAGTAATTTAGAGACACTCAAATTAAAAGAGAAATGATGAAGCAAAAACATTAAGTCCCTGGGAGCCCTGTGGATGCTGTAATTATCAGCATCCATAGAGCACTTCTCAGTGGAGGCAAACTGCTTCTCCTTGTCATAGCATGCAGCAAGGCAGAGTCCAGCCTGGCTCCTCAGGTTCCCAGTCTGGGGTCGCTCCCCAGCACCCAGGAGCTCACCACTGCTATTCTCGGTGGATTAGACAGCCTCGTTACACATTCACCACTCTCCTTATGGAGAGACAAAGCTGATGAGAATATGAGCTTGCTCTGAAGGTGGGGGGGGCGGGGAGGGGAGGGGAGGGAAGAGTCATAATCTGTACGGCTTTGGTAGGGATGCACTAGCTTTGAAAGAAACGTGCTGTTTTCAATATCTGGAAGAAATGTTCACGCCAAGCCTGTGATTTCATATTCCATATGAAAAGGACGTTGTGTTCATCCACAGAGGTGAAACACAGAAATTATTGCATATCTTTCTTCAGAATGGTGTGCAATTCTGTATTTTGTAATAAGCTCAGCACACATCTGAGTTTGGGCTTCATATATCTACAAATACAATTATTGCGTTATCAGTTAACATAATATTGCATTATTTCCTGTTCAGGAGTTTGATAAGAAGGCGGAACCACACTGCAGTTCCAAGCAGAGGTCACAACACTAGTTAAACATTTCTGAATAATGACAAAAGTATATCCCCCAAACGACTCAGGCTTGTTTTAAGTGACTCAAAACCATGTCCTGCAGCTGCAGGATTGGAAAGCTCAAAGCTGCACAAACAGCAAATATATGGAGAGATGCCTATAAAGCAGCTTTAAATTTGGCTGGGGCTTAGGAACGGAAGAAGTTGCAAACCTTGGATGAAAAATGACTTTTAAAAGGCATTTACATTTGTTAATAAAAAGCAGCTTTGAGCCAAGCAGGGAGGGGATGCTGAGATGCTCTGAATGTGTGTGGCAGTGCTGCCTGGTGTGAGCCTTTTCTTTCTAGTGAAGAGGAGAGCTCATATTTACACAGCAGAAACCTGCATGGAATTTGTCTTCTCACCAGAGTGCAGGAAAAGTATCAACAAGACTTTCCTCCCTCTGCTCTTCCTCTTTGTGTCTCTCATGGGGGGAGCAGACCTGGGAAAGGCCCTCTCGGCTGCAAGGGGTAGTGGAGGCTTCTCCAGGGGTCATCCCTGCCTGTGGGTGAATCCCGTGGGGCACAGTTGCATGTTTTAGCTGCATATTTTGGCTGCTGCTGGCCCAAAGCAGCCGTGATGGTGTGGGGCACTTGGTGGCAGAGCCCCAGCAGAGATGTGCAGCAACTGGTTGAGGACACTGCAAAGAAAGTCCACAGCTCATCTGGTCTGACCTGGGGAGCAATCCAGATACTTATTTTTAGGCAATTGGATCTGTTAGGTAGCAGCATCATTTCCAGTCTCTTCTGGCCCCACCTGACGAGCACTCCAGCCCCGCTCAGTGCTTTCAGCGGTGCGATAAGAGATCTGTATGTCACGTGTATTTCACCGTTTCCTGCTTTTGCTCATTTCAAGGGCCTCTTCTACCAACTGAGTTAGGAAGAGGGGAGGCTGCTGCCCACCTCTGAGCAGGAAGGATATATGAGATTATTCCACTGATGGGCTACGCATCATCAGTGTCTAATGGGCTTCCTGCATGGGGAGGGGATAAGGGTTACGTAAAGGAGGGACATTGAGTTTATCCTGCTCTGCTGTCTCTTGGAGTCATCAGAAAAAGAGGGTTGGGACCTGGAAAGCCATAGCTGCTTTTCAGCCTCCTGATTCCCTTGAGATACTCAGTGATTTCTCTGTGTGGGGCAGGGAGGAAGAGACGAGGAAATGGAGCCCTTTAAATCTTTTGCTCCCTGACTCATTATCAGCCAGTTTCCCATTTATTTTATTTCCTTTTTCCTCTCCAGGCAACTTTTACGATTCCCATTGTTAAGCCAAGGGGCTATGTGACAAATTTTACTTGGGTCCTGTAACATGATTTACACAGTGAATGTCACAGATGATGCGGATGGCAAAAGGGGATGGAGAGTCTTTAGCCTGTGATATTTTCCCAGGCATTACAAATAGCTAGTTTAGTTCCACCTCAATAGCTGGGAAGCTACTTTTTCCTTCCAAACTGCTGCTGTTCACACAATAAACATGTTCTCAGATGTATCAGCAAAGGCTCTTGAGGAAGGGAGCTTAAGAGCTCCAGGCTTCAGCTGGATGAAACTCACCAAGAAAAAAAATTTTGGATTTCATCGATTTTTATGAAGTTCCAGGTTTTGGCTGGAGGATTCCAGAGAGGTGAAATCTCTGATTTCCCACTAGTGGTGGATACAGAAAGCAGGCCTGCCTGCTCATGTTGTCATGGGTCGTGTGCTGGTGATGTTCAAGATAGGGTCACCTCAGGTTTTGATAATAAATTCTGACTTTAGGGAACATTTAAGTGACTGGGAGGTAAGGCGTCAAATTCCCCTTCTTACCCTACTTGGATCCTGTTGAGAGGCAATGGAGTGGGACCACAAATTGTAGATGGAAATCTGACATCTGAACTTTCTTGGGAGAGTCAATTCCCTCCACCCCCAGATGCTGGCAGCCTGACTGGACAGATTTATTGTGATTTGAGGAAAGGGACAGGGGAAGAGATGTAAGAGATTGCAGGCTTCACTTTTCTTGGTCCCCCAACTGAAAAATTGAGAGTCGATGTTTCTCACGAGAAACATTTAGCTTTTGGTTTTTGGGAGGAAATAAAAAATGTCTGACTCCTAGATACTCATGGGTGTTTTTAAATTGGCAGCTGTTCACGCAGACTAGCCCCTCTGTAAAATGAACCCAAACAAAGTTGCTCATGGGACCAAATTATAAAAAATCCTTCTTGCTCCAATTAGCAAGAGCACCAGCGTGCTGCTGGGGCCCTCCCAGTGCCCAGGGGTGATCTCTGGCTGCTGGAGCTGAGCATGTTCACAGTGGTCCCCTGGGATGGAGGGCTCCAAGCTCTTCTGAGACTTGTGCTAACAAGTGATGTTTCACAGGTGAGAGAAAACTGCTCCCATTTATCACGAAAACAGGGGTGAGGTTCTCCAGAGCAGCTGGGAAATGTGCACTCCCTCAAATGAATGTGGTCATGCAAGAAAGGCCCCGGCTTTCCTTCTGCTGTTTTTGGGAGCGTTTGGGTGTGCTGTGCAGCCCGTCTCCCTGCAGCTGCTTCTCTGTGGTGGCCGGATGAGCTGGAGGTCACACTCTTGCACTGTCCCCAAGTGCCACAGGGGCAGCTGCCTGCTGAGAAAGCTGGGTTTTGCCCCACACCCTCAGCCTGCCTCTCCCATTGAATACCATCGGCTCATGTGCAAAGTATGTGACCTCCCTGGCACGGCGTCTCAATGTGGCAAAATAGAGCCACACTGCCCTATAATGTCAGCTCTGCACGGCACGGCTCTTCCAGGGAGCAGCACAGTGGCATGGGGAGGAGGGTTTTGTTTCAAACAATGATGTCATTGACAGGCTGGAGTGGGACCAAGATCACTCCACGTCGGTCATCAGCAGAAACAGTCTCAAGCCATCTGTACATTATGGCACTGAGCCACTCTTCCTTCGTTTGGCTTCCTCGCTTGTATTTAACCAGCTCCCAAGGCTTTCTGGGGAACAAATCCTGCCAAGAGCAGGCTATTCCACCCTGAGCTGAACGCTGAGCCGGATCTTGGGGAACGACTGATCTTGCCGAAAGCTGGTTGCTGTTGGAAAGGTGTGAGGGCTTCTCTAGAACATCTTGAGTGCTCTTGTGTAGCTGACCCTGGCCTCAAACAGCCCCACATAGCTGCAGCTGTGATCAAAGTTTAGCAAATGCTCCCATCCAAAAACAGCTTTTCCTCTGACTTCATCAATTCTTCATGCTGGTAACTCCTCTAATGAGGGACTCCATGCTGCCTTTTAGGAAGATGATGTGTGCTAGCAATCTGCCAGCTGCCTGACTAGACCTCGGAAGCCTTTAAGTGAAGTTATTTTGCATCCAAACTTCTGCAGCTTCATCTCGAGCTGCTGGAGAGGTCGTCACTGAGACATGTAATGTAACAGAGAAGAAAGGATCAAATAGTGCTGTTTTTTCCAGGCTTTCCTTCTCCAGCAAGGAGGTGAGCTCTGCGCTCCTCTGGAAACGGTGAATCAGGTCCCTCAACACTTTGCAGGGCTGAGCTCCCCTGGAATCAGCCGTTCAGCCTGGCAGTGATGCTGTCCTGAAATGATGGCAGATAAAGGCCACTGCTAAGGTTCTGGGGTACGTGTCTCACTAATCTCACCTCTTTATCCAACAACTGGTAAATGTGGAGAAGGGACAAGACTGGCTGATAACCTTGGTGCACTCTGAGATGGAAAGAAGGCTTCTTTTCTGTTTATTTACAGTTTAGTGGAAAGCTTGATGCTAGCTGAGGAAGTAAGCTGAGCTGGGAATGAGCTTTCACAGACTCTGAAGTGAGATAGCACCCCAAGGGTGTTGCAAGATGTCCTGATGTTTTTCCTCTTTCCTCACTGCCCTCCCCATCACACACCGCGCAACGCACTGTGATAGCCCTTCTCAGCAGTGCTGCAAGAGCCTCAAGGCTCCCTCCGTTAAGGCAGGGAAGGGTCTTCAAATAAGGACTGTTCCAGCTCAGAATAAGAAGCTGGACCATTCATAGGGAGCCTACAATGTAGGATAGGAGTCAACTGGTGGAGAGAGGCTTGAAAGTCATAACATGGCGCCACTCAGCCAGATGATGCATGCTTTCAGCTCAGCAGCTGTGTAAGTATCCCTAAAAATTCAGGCAGACCTCTCAGCTCCTTAATCCACACTAGAAGGGCATAGAGCCTGATTCTGCAGGTAGGAAGAGATGTGCACATACCATGTGTTGTGTGGCATCATCCTGTGCCTTGAAACATGGTGTGCCAGGCTCTGGTGCTCAGCATGGCCCAGCTCTGCACTGGGGCTGGGCAGCAGTGCCATGGACTCCATGCTGGGCAGGAGTCAAAGCACTGAGGATTTTTATGGTAGATGCTGGAGGAGAAATAAAATAGCTATTCATAGTAAATGCTTTCCAAGAATAAAGGAGCAGGAAGAAAACATAAGCGTGCTTGTTTGGGAATGAAACAAGTAGGCTGGGCAAGCCTCAGCTGCTGGAAATCCACGGGCTGGTGTCTAATTCTGGCTTTAGTAGCACTGGGCAGATGCACACTGGTTTAGTGTCTGCTCCTGAAATGACAGTCTCTAACACAGACCAGATACCTGCCAGAGCACATTGCTCAAGGCAATTTCCTGCAAGTTAATGCAATCTGTTGATTAAACATTTGTTTCTTGCAGCCTCGTGCTGAGCAAGCTACTGCAGTCAGGGAGGTGAAGGGAGTTTTTTTCTGTGGGACGGTGCTTCTGTGCTTATCTTCAGTTTACAGACCCGAGATAGCTGAATGCAGCAATCTCGCCTTCTGATCACTGACAGGATCTAGTGATGAGAATTAACACATCAGAAAGAAACAAAATGAGCTTTCCTGGGCTACAGTGAACTTTGAAAGTGGAGATAAAAGCTGTTGTATTCCCGACATCAAATGCTGTCAAATACAACAGTGGCACACAGTTTTGTCTGACACTAAGCCATTGGTACTTGTTCAGGTGTCTGAGCCTTTGGATGCCGGATGGGGGAAGCACTTTCAAACACTGATAGAAGGTTGTGTTTCCTGTTGCTCTGGCCTAATTTAATTAGATATCACAAGTGCCCAATCCCTTATTCAAACAGAGGCTTTCAAGGTAGATTAGACCTGGCTGCCACATACCAAAAACCAAGACAGATGGAAAAATCTTTGGTTTTGCTTCTGATACAGCTTTCTTCATCCAGCCTAAAGAAATCAAGCAAAGAAAAGAAGGAAACTTTTTCTTTCTTGCTTGCATGCAGGTCATAGTTCAAAAATCTCGTGCATGAAATGCATTAAACAGGGATGCAGAAGGACTGAACCGGAGCTGCAGCGTTGCTGGCATCGCGCTGCCCAGGGTGCACGTGGCATCCTTGTGGCGTGGCAAGTGTGGTGCTTCGGTGGCCTGACAGCACCGCGGGGTTGCTGCAGAAGTGTGTTTCATAGATGGGGCATATTCTGTGTTCCTTCTCCAAATTTTTGGAAGTGAGGCCATTGTTTTAAAAAACTGTTTTAAACCTACATTTTACTGCTGCTGAGATGGACACAGGATATGACCTTCTTGGTTTGGCCCAAATTTTGACTTGCTGTACTTTTTACATTACTGTTTAGCAAATGCAGATGTTTAAAAAGAAGGGGAAGGCTGTTTCCTCTGGAACCACATCAAAATGCTTACTATTAAGTGCACAGGAGAGCCTTTTGTAGACTTTTGGTCTGATCCTGGGCTGAAGACAGGGAGAATATTGTCTATATGAGGATGACACAAACAAATTCAAAGTGGGGAATCAGCATTTTCCTAGGACAAAGATGTGAATCGGCTTCTGGGCAGAAGTTGAAATGCAGATGCAGATTGGTTTATAATTTTGTTCAGATTGGGGCACTGGAGAGAGTCTGGGTTTGAGCTGAGATCTCACTCCAGTGCCCAGATGTGTCCTGAACTGGCCTGTGGTGTGCTTGGTACACTGGACTTGGTGCGTTGAATCTAATCCCCGTATATTTGGGGCATGACTTTGCAGTAGTAAAGGAAACTCCGCTCAGAGACTTGCACCCATTAAGGGAAGATGATGTTGAGTTTCCAGGGTTTTTTTAAGTCCTCACGTAAAAATTGAATTGTTCACTTGCAGCTGTTGGAAGTGGATCTCGGCACCTGATCAAACTCAGGGACAGGCTCTCCTTTATTATTTTAATTTAATAAATGGCTTGAAAGAGCACTTAGGAAGATGGCTCACTGCGCCCTTTCAGAAGTGAGCGTGCTCCACTCCTGCCAGGGCAGCAGATAGATGGATGTGGCAAGGTCAGCTATACTTCCACCTTCTGACCCTCTGCTATCACAGTGTGCTCTGCACAGGGAAGCACAGCCTGCGGCGCTGGTCCCTGCAGTGGCTCCGATGGCTCCTGTGCCACCAGGGAAGCTATTAGGTGCTGCCTCCCTGGGGACAGTGTGTTAACAAGTGCCTCGCAGGCAGAAAGTGCTGATCCAGAGCAGAGTGCAGAGATACAGCGTAGCTCTTGACTGGTGTCCCCCAAATACCTGTCTCCTCCCTGCCCTCTCTGTGCATTGCAATTGGTTTCGCACTGTGGGTAGCAAACAGCGACCGCCCCGAGTCCACAACAGTGGTTCACAGCAACAGGAATATTTACACTGACTTCAGAAGGAGCTGCATCTAGCCGATTTTCTAACACACCTAGGAAACAGAAATCCAGGTCTAAAGAAAGGTCTTACTGCCTTTTTTTTTTTTCTTTTTTTTCTTTTCTTTGCCCCTCCCTGTATCTGCAGAAACCTCTTTGCACCAAGCTACACTGAGACTTATTACAGCCAGACTGGACAACCCCAGACCACCTCTCTGACCCACACGGTGAGTGCGGAGTGTGCTTTCCCTCCCGCAGAGTGCAGGGGAGACCAGGCAGGGGGCCCGGAGAAGCAGGTGACCTTTCTCCAGAGCCTTTCTTCGAGGCCATGGGTCTGCTTTAAGCTGAAGGGGAGGGCAGTCTGACTTTCTGACCTGGGGGGTTCCAGCAAGAAAGCATCTCCATCCCCCAGCAATGGTAAAAACATCTTACTGTTTTGCCTGAGCTCTGATATGAGAAGCCCAGGTCAGCCTCCAGCATCACTTCCCTCTCTGGGTGCTGGGGGATCGTTTATTCCTCACGCTGCTCATCTTCTTGCTTTTATTTTTGCCACTGGGTATTCCACTCTGGGGACACTCCCAGCCTTTGAGAAAACCAGCCTGTGTGAGCTGGCTCCTGTTCAGTAAAAATCCCATGAATTACTCATCTCACGCAAGCGTTGGCTGACTCTGTGCTGCAGTGGCACAAAGATGTGCATTGGTTGCAATGCAAAAATAAGAGATAAAACCCCCATGAGATCATCTTTACTGATACTGCCCCGGGGCGAGGGGAAAGGATGGGATGAATATATCGGCGGTTCTGCCCCAAAGCCTCCTTGTCCCTGCCAGAGGCTGCCTTTGTCTTGCCAGGAGCCCCCAGACGGGGACTTCCCCACTGCCCGTGGTGTCACCCTCTCTGGGGCTGAAGGCACGTCCTTTGGGGCCTGACCCAGGGCCAGCTGCCATCGATAGGCAGCTCCCATTACAGGCAGAAAGCTTTGGATCGACCTTAATGCTGCAGCCATCTGAGTTGCTTCCTTGGGGATTCAAAGCTCTTAATTTTTACTGCCAACAAGGAGCCGTTTGATGCTTTCGCACAGGCCACGCATGGCAGCTGAAAGGCCAAATTTCAATGCAGACTCACAGAGATTTAGTTATGATAGTCAACAGCCAGATGCAGTGGAAAGAGAAAAAGAGTATTGGCAGCACTCACATGGGGCTCAGTGGTGCCTAAGTACAGCATACATCCATCCCAAAACTGCGTTGCCAACCTGCTCCCCTCTGCTTTCCAGGACCACTGCTTTTACCACGGGGTCGTGAGGGGCTGGGAGCGCTCCAGCGTCACGCTCAGCACATGCAGAGGGCTGCGGTAAGTGCCTGGTGATGCCGGAGCTGCGGGAATGCCTCTGCTCGGCTCCTCAGCATGCTGCCACTCAAGCTCGGCTCCCCAGCAGCCTGGCTGCCTTATTTTTTTCTTGGCAGATAGATGTGTTCTCAAATGCCACCCAGCCAAGGGTCCTGAGCATAAAAGGGAGCATGTCAGGAGAAATGCAGAAATTTGGGTATCATTAGTAACCATGGCCTTCTAGCCAGCTCCTAGACTCCTTCCCCCTTTGTGCTGGCAACGTGGACTCATGCAATGAGTGAGTTTAACTCAAGAGTCCACTGGAGCAAAAGACTCTCTTGTTAGTGACTCAGGGCTGCATCCCTTACAGAGACAGGGACAGGACCCGCCACATCCCAGCCCAATACTCTACACTAATGCAGAAACCAGCTCCTTCTCCCAGTCTTTCACAGCTGGCAAGTTTTTGTGTGTGTTTTGGGGCAAAGTCTTCAAGTCTGAACTTCCTCCCGGGTTGTCAGCCCCGCTCCCTGTTTTATTCCTGGTGGTGCCGGGGTTGTGTGTGTTACGCATTTAAAACCTTTGCTTTGGTAGTAATGGAGTCTTTGGCAGGAAAAGACAGTCTGTATCCTCAGCAGGAGTAAATGAAATGGCTTGTCGCAACCAAGGAGCTGCATTCATTTACACCAGCTCAGAGTTTGTTTCCAAAACACCACATGGGCTTTATTGATATTAGTGGTCATCTGCTCTCGAGCGCTGATTGGAAGCTGTGCTGGTGGGACTGGCTCCAGCCAGGAAGCAGCCCGTGCCAAAGCAAACCTGAGACATCTTAAGTGAATGTAGGACAGGCCAAAGAGCCCAGTGAGATAAACAGGACAGTGCAGCCACCTGTGGTTTGCAATAAATAATCCAAAAGCAAAAGTAGTCACAGGTGTGCCTTGCTTCTGTCAGCCTGCGTTTTCCTAGGCTCTGCTTTCCTAGCTGGAGAGGAGATAGAGATGTCTCCTTGGTGTGCACATGTGGTAGCGTTCTGCACCCCTGAGCTGTCAGCGGTGTGCTGGCAAGTCCTCAACATCATTTTCTAATTGCCGTGAAGGTATGAGAGCTGAGCTCACGTGGCTGTTTTCAGTCTGAGCCTTCACAGGGAGGCACACTGCCCGTCGAGCCACATGTCTTCTAGTGGGCATCAAACACAGGAGATTTCCGACTCTTCTGGCTGTAACATGCTCATTGAGAAAACCAGAACTGCATGGCTGTGTGCAAGTCCTAGAGAGAACTGTGTTTTTATCTGTTGACAAAGTCTTCACATTTTTTAGGTCAGTTCTGTTAAAGATCAATTTCTTCAATTGCTTGAAAAGCTTCCACTGCCCCTAAAGAAAAAACTGTATTTTTAAAAAGTACTTCTCAGGTTAGCATTGTTGCAGCACATGCTCCGATAGCCCCTTAATTGAATGTCTGAGGCCCACTGGATAGATTTTAATATATGCAAGCTCAGGGATTCCCCCTCTGAACTCAAAATATTCCCATCCTTTTTATTAATGAACTGAATGGCCTGGTAAGGGTAAGTGCCTTGCCAGAGTCAGACGGGAACTCAGCAGCAGCAGAAGGATTTGTCTCTGGTTGCTGTGATAGTAATTAACTTTCCCTCTTATTACTTCCTGTTTCAACAGAGGACTTATCTTATTGAGCAGCAATTCCAGCTATATCTTAGAGCCGGTTCCCGACAGCCCAAACCAGCACTTGATCTACAGGTTGAATGACCTGAGGTTGCAGAGAGGAGCCTGTGGCTACCAGGGCACTGGGGACGCAGCTGAAGACTGGCTCAGGGACTTCACAACTGGGATGAAACCACCTCGCCAGAGGGTGAGCTGGGCTTAAACCGGGTCCATGCATGATGCTCCAAATTTGTTGGCTGTTCCAAGCCCGAGGAGCCTGCTGTTCTCTAGGAACATAGCTCAGAAAGTGAAATGAAGGAAAATATTTAAGAGGCTTTGTAGCAAGCTGGTTACCAAATAGTGGCTCCAGCAGGGAAATAAATGAGTGTTGGGGACCATTGTGTAGCGTGAGGAATCTGGGCTGTAGCTGTTCCTGCACAGATTTGTGCATCCGATACATGAACAAACGGGTGGGCTGAGGACAGGCACGTGGGCACTTGCTGTAGCTAAACTGACTTGTGATACTTGGTTGCTGTAAGTCAATCACATCTGGAGGTTCCTGTGTGTAATGGGACGGGTGAATGGCCAGTGAAAAGCAAACTGGGAAAAATGGCCTGTAGGTATGTTTTGAGAAGAGTTTCTTGGGGGATATTGGGGAAATAACCTGTGTTGCTGCTGCCGCAGGTGAAACGGGAGATTCTGCAGACTACGAAGTACGTGGAGCTTCTGCTCGTGGCTGATTATGCAGAGGTAAGAAAAGGGATCATGTTTATATCAACTGAGCACTGGGCCCAGAGCGAAAACCCAACCGCAACAACCTCCTGGGGCGGGGAGGGCAGCTGGAGCTCAACAGGTTTCCTTTTGCCATCCCGACGGTCCTACCCCCACCAGCAGACAGGGAGAGCTGTGTCTTGGTCACTTTTGTCCTAGCAGCCATGACTCCTCTGCTGCCACTGTCAGATACCGTTGGCCAGGGAAGAGATGCAGGTTGCGATTTGGTTGAAGGACTAGGGTTGGGGGTCAGTTCTTCCCTCCCAAGGTAGCAGTGGTCGACCCTGGTTATCGATGGGAGAGACTGCCTTCAGCCTAGGGTGACTTGGGGGTTTCCAGGAACAACGTGCTTGTAACTGCAGTACGCTTAATCTCTAGAGAAGATAACCGTGATTATCCTCTGCTCTGAGCCGGTAGCAGATATATAAACAGACATTTTCAAGGCTCTAGATCAGAGAATAGGGCTGGAAGAGACCCAGTGAAGTCAGCAATCCCTCCCCGTCCCCAGCCTGGACAGTACGCCAGATGTACTTGCTGACAATGCAAACCGTGCAGTGTTTTGCCGATCATCTAATCTCCAGCACAGACGGAAGTCAGGCTGGTCCTATTCATTATTTACAACTTGAAACTCCAATAGTGAAAGCCACGTAGTGCTCTGGGCTATAATTTATTCTGAACAAAACTAAAGAGGCAGAACCTATTTCAGCCTTCTCTGTTAGGCAGCTGGATACCAGGGAAACTATGAGAAAACACGTTATACCTAGGAACTGCCATATGTTGTTCACCATTTCATTAGACAAGCTGGGGTAGACACCCTTGCACTGTCGTCGTTAACTGCCCTTACTGCATTTACTGTCTCCCTCGCTAGAAGAAAAGTCCCAAGTTTTGTCATCTGTTAAACAAAAATCTAAACATTTTGCAACTTTAATTCCTTGAATCAAACAATTTGCTAAAATTAACTTGTTAATTGCCAGGTGGTTTAGATAGGCAAATTTATTGGATGAGTGAGATGCATCCCACATTCGTTGGATGAGTGAGGTGGGATGAGCGCTATGGCAGCCTTGACCTCAGACATGAAGTCATGTTACCATATATTTTGCCTGGCAAATTTGTCAGTTCTTTGCCAGCCCCTGGCTCTGGGGGCTCTGATAAGTTTGGGTCGCTCCACTGAGTTACTACCACCGCTTGAGTATCATCGCTGCAGTGGGATGCCGGGAATGAATTCTGAATATACATGTACGGGTGGGCTTATAGTCAGGTGTACAGTGAAGGAAAGCTTTTGGGCTTCGCCTGATAGTCACCTTCTTATTCCCAGAGTAATGTGACTTGTTTTAACACATTTCAGCTCTTCCTAGTTGCCTCTGTGCTATCTGACATGTTCATTTTGTTCAGTTTCAGAAGCATCACTTCAACATTGAAGCAACAAGGCTTAAATTAGTGGAGGCTGCTAACTACGTAGATAAGGTGAGATCAGGTGTGCATGAACTGAGGAAAGCAAAGTCCAAATCATGAATTATGAGAATTACCTGTGACAGAGGAATACTGCCTTCTTGGGAGAGAAAATTATGTTTCAACAGTTCTCCCCAGTGACTCAGGGAGTGGAGAGCATCCGACAAACAATTCTGTTGTTCGACATCAGGGGCGGGGTGGGAGAATCTCCATTCCTTACCTTGGAATGAGCATGAACATCTCTGTCTTTTAATACATCTCTGTATTAACTGTGTTACCTAAATACTGCTTTTTGACAAAGGACTAAGGTATGCACTTCAAATTTTAGAAATCTTGGCAAATAGAGGTGGAAAAAAGCCTTCAGAGGTCATCCTTGCAGTGATACCCACTGCTGCTGAAGTAAATGTCACAACTTTTCTACTCCCTTCATACTCCCCTTCTCCCCTTAAATGCCTTTCACCGCTCCCTTCACCCCACCCCCCCCTCACCCCCCGTGAAGACTTGTCCTGTTTGTACTTGATGTGGGCAGCAGATTATTTCCTTCCCCTTTTCAGGAATTTTGACATCTCTAAAGATAAACATGATCTCAGTCTCCAGTCTTTGTTTTTCTAGATTATCCCTGTGTCATTGATTTAAAAATGAAAGTTCAGCATCTCTAGTTCAATTGAGTTTGGGTTTGTGGGTGGTGCACAATTTTCTCTGCAGAGCTGCGGTGCTAAGTTGCAATGCATTTCCAGAGAGAACGTATTCTCTGGACATGTGTATCTGTAGTAGCATTTAGCAGGCTTTATATAAAAGATTAAAATGACAGTAAAATAAATTAGTGGTGCTCATTTTGTCATCTCTTTTCCTTCCCGTATCTTAGTTTTACAGATCCCTGAATATCCGGATTGCCTTGGTGGGGCTGGAGATCTGGAGTAATTGGAATAAATGCGATGTAACTGAGAATCCCTACTCCACCCTGAAGTCCTTTCTGGCCTGGAGTAGCAAGGAGCGGGTGCACAGAAAACATGATAACGCCCAGCTAATCACGTAGGTTTATTTCTGCTGAAATAACCTGTTTCTGACAAGTGGTTTGGGTGGATGAGAAATCAGTATGTGAGGTTATATCGTTCTAAGATTCAGAGTGGCAGATTTATGTAGTGGCCACTTAGCCAGCATTAAGCTCTGGCACCCAGAGCACAATCACCTTAGGAAAAGTGGAGGTCCCAGGCTATGCAGCAGTCTCAATACGCAAGCACCAAAGTGCATCAGCTTTATTGTGGGTGCATATCACAGGCGGCTGCACATGATCTGTCACAGCTACATGTACAATTTCAAGAAAATCTAAACCATAAGCAAGACCTGTAAAGGGGAGCTAAGCCCTCTGCAGAACGCATTTGTTCCTAACTCATCCCTCTGAGACACAGGGGACATGGTGCTGGGAGCTAGCTGATGATCTGTGACTCATCCTACTGATCTCATTAGGGCAGTAGCTGTGGCCAGCAATGCAGATGTCATTGGAAGAAAAATTTGCAGCAACTCTTAGACCTCCTTACCTCTCCCACGGTAATTAATCCACCAGTAAATAGTGGTGAGTCAGAGGAGAAACCTGTAGGACTGAAATGCAGAGATGCAATGCCTTTTCCCTTGTTTTGTTTGTTTGTTTGTTTGTTTGTTTGTTTGTTTGTTTGTTTGTTTGTTTGTTTGTTTGTTTGTTTGTTTGTTTGTTTGTTTGTTTGTTTGTTTGTTTGTTTGTTTGTTTGTTTGTTTGTTTGTTTGTTTGTTTGTTTGTTTGTTTGTTTGTTTGTTTGTTTGTTTGTTTGTTTGTTTGTTTGTTTGTTTGTTTGTTTGTTTGTTTGTTTGTTTGTTTGTTTTCCCCCCCTTTAACATTACTGTATTTCACATTCACCTAGTCATGTCCTGAGCACAATTTCCAAGGCTTCCATTCAGACATGCCGGCAGGGACGGTGCAGAATTCTGGCTCGCCAGGCAGGAGCTGAGCGTGGCTGCACCTCAAAGGTGTTATCTAGTACTCTGTCAAGCCCCTGAATCCCAAACTGGCAAATAGCAGGCTTAAGGTCAATTAAGTATTCAAAACAGTACCCAATTAAGGATCCAGAAATAGTCTTTTCTGTGCTTGTTGCAAAGCTCAGGGGAGCACTTTTTGGCACCAGACCATTATAAAAAATAGGATTGGCTGGTTGGCCCATAAAACAAAATAGTAGTCCAAGAAAAATAGGTCTTAAGGCTTTGTAGCTCTGCTATAATGTCCGGTACTTGAAGATATTATTAAAGAAAATGTATTCACCTGACACTGTATATGTATAAAGCTGTGGACTACAGGAAGCATTTCTCTGCCTTGCCTTCTCAAGTGCCTCGGTGCCATTTCATGGTCTTTCTGGATTGATTTTAGGGGTGTGCCCTTCCAAGGTACCACAGTAGGCTTGGCTCCTGTGATGGCCATGTGCTCTGATTTCCAGTCAGGAGGAGTAAACATGGTAAGTAATTGCTAATACCTAATATGATGTTTCTTGCCAGCAGTGAATACATAGGATAGATGCCCCCTAAAGCCCAGGAAGACAATATTTCCCGTGAAGACCTCCAGCTCACCTACTCATAGGCAGGAATACCTTCAGTAGATGTTTTCAACACGTAGTAATGAGAAGCGCCGCTTACCCCATTGACCCAGAGGTGCACAGGACAGGCACAGGTAAAATGCTGATGTGCCTCTTTGACCTTGCACAGGATCACTCTGATAATGCCATTGGTGTTGCTGCTACTATTGCCCATGAGATGGGACACAATTTTGGCATGAATCATGATTCAGCTGGCTGCTGTACTACCCCTGCAGAAGATGGAGGCTGCATCATGGCTTCTGCGACTGGGTGAGTTCGTCTTACAGGGTCTCACGGAGAAATGCAAAGGGCTTTGTTACAAGAGCCTTGGTGGAGCAAGAGCTAGAAATGCAGACTGAAGGTGGGTCTGTTGCTGCCTGTTGAAGCCAGTGTGTTCATAGAGAAAATACTGCTGGGCAAACCCTGGCTCATGTATCGGTAGCAATTTGCTAAATTCCCAATGAACTTATTCCTGCCTGAGATTGGCCTTAGGTAATGTAGGGACCTGGAAGCATTTAGAAGTGGAGCTCTAAACTGTCAGGTAAAAAGGAAAATTTTCCTATCTTCTGTCCTGAGAGACTGTCTCAGGATGCCTCTAACCCCTCGTCTCCAAGTTTGTGCTTTCCACTGTGTCCTACCAAATGATCCATCACCCCAAAGCAAGTTCAATGCATATATGCACACATCCTTCTGCAAAACCTGGGCTGCCTGTTGCCAGCAAGTACAGAGAAATGAGGGGTGACCAGAACATATGTGACCTTGGCATGTAGAGGTTTACGTGGGTTTCATTTCTGTGTTGCACACAAGATGCATAGATAGATAGTTGATAGGGTTTCTTGAAGCATCTCGTGCAACAGATAATGTGTGTTACAATGTGGTAAAGAGAAGAAACAGGAAAGAACTGATTTTATTAAAAGGCACAGCAACAGAATTATATTTCTAAGTCAGAAGGCATGAAAACAGGTCAACTGCTTGTTGTCTTAAGAATACTGTTTGGTTTCAGTGAGTCACAGAAAGCCTGTGTTTAAAAGGGAAGAAATAGCTGGCTTTGAGAGAAAGGGGAAGCAAGAGTGACTCTGGAAACCCACAGGGATTCCAGAGCTCATTTTGGATGAGGAACCACAAGAGCTTCCATATTTCAGTCACGTAAAAACGTCAGCTGAACCCATTCACTTAAAGCCACATTCCCTGTTTCCTCAAGCCTTCCTTCTTGGAGTTTAGCAGTTTTTAACAAAATTGTCTCCATTAGATACCTTCTTTTACATGAATGATTTCCTCCAAATAAGGAAAAACATTTAGGTGAGAAGTGAAAACATATTGGCATGCAGGTAGAGCATGGAGTACACAACGTGTACTCACACATGCATGGTCATGAATAGAATGCATAGGTTCAAGCATTGTAGCAACAGAAATTAATAATTCATGTAACAGAAAATATTCATGTCCTTTGCAGTGAGGCAGTAGATAGGAAAAAGAAAACATTATTTTTATCAGTTAAATTCACAAGCAGTCATTCACAGTGCGAGGGCTGGATTCTTAGGCTTGTTCAAGCAGAGTTAGGAATAAGCCACAGCTTCAGTATTGAGCAGGTAAGGACAGCCATACTTGTCAGATGACAAAGCCAAGTCTAACTCAACATATTTTGTTTCAATAAAGTTTGTTTTTTAAGGCCATTGCATTACTAGACAGTCTTGCAGTGCAATGACCTTATTTTCTAATGTAATCCAGATGGATCTGATTTTGAACACACACACACACACACACACAACACACTCTCACGCTTTTGCACAATTTCAGAGACTTCAGAGAAGGACCTGTGTCCTTTGGCACTTGTCAGGATTTGCATGTGCTCATTTTTGGTTCTCTAAACCATTGCCCAGATCTGTCATGATGTTTTTCTACACTGTCCATATTCAGGCACCCATTCCCCAAGGTGTTCAACCAGTGCAATAGAAAAGAGCTGGAGAAGTATCTGCAGTCTGGTGGAGGGATGTGTCTCTCCAATATGCCGGATACCAAAAAAATGTATGGTGGGAAGAAATGTGGAAATGGCTACTTGGAAGAGGGGGAGGAGTGTGACTGTGGAGAGGTGGAGGTAACAACTGTTCAGATCCAACCATTTGGGGTTTAGTGGGACACAATGATTTTATTATGTATTTTGCAAATACAGTTATGTGATATGTAAACAGCTTTTGTTTGTGCAGGAGATATGCATACCTTCCTTGTATGTAAATGTATATGCAATGTAAATCAAGGTTGTAAAGTATCATGTCTAAGTTCACAGTATGTAGTACAATGCATTCCAGAACTCAAGGATGGTGTAATCCGTGGCTGAACAGAGGTGATGACAACTTCATTTAAAAAAGAAAAGAAAAAGTGATCTTAGATGTTGCAGTTTCATATATAAGTTCACTTTACTTATGGCTCCATTCTTGATAAGGATGGGGCTTCTCTTAGCACTGCATCTCACTTCCCCAAATCCATACTTTGACTAATAAGACAAAAGGGAGCTGGAACCAGCAGCCCAGACTCACTAGATGTAACGAGCACAGCCTATAGTATCCAGTCAGTCCGACACAGGATACAATTATGCAGTACCGTAATTCAGCACGTGCTGTGTATCATGAACACATTGTGGAAGGAAGGCTGTTACTTTGTTCGCATGTAATTCATCACGTACGAGAACAAATTAGTGCCAGCCTCACACTTCGATGCTCTGGCATGTTCTTATCTTGAACATCTGTCTTGTAAACTCTGATGCATCTCACTGTCTTCCAGGAATGCAACAACCCCTGCTGTGATGCCAGCACCTGCTCCCTGAAGCTGGGTGCCGAATGTGCCCACGGCAGCTGCTGTCATCAGTGCAAGGTGGGATCTCTGGGTTTTCCTAAGAGAGGAGAGGGAATAATGGTGGTGGAAGTGTGAGGCTGAAAGATGGAGGGGAAAGGGGAGCAAACGCAGCCAAATGTGGATTTCAGCTCCTCACCTGCAAGCAACATGGTCTGATTTTCTGTACAACAGCTAGAGTGCAATCAAACTAGCGGGGTCCTTTCTTCTAGCTGACTAATTTAATTGAATCCTGTGATAACTTAAGATTAGCTGTGAATGCTGCTGGAATGAAGTCACACTGCCTCTCTTACACACTTAGGGATGGGGTGACTCAGAATGAATATTTCTCTTCTTTGGCTCTAGAAGAAATCTAGACAGAGCTCTTAGAGCAAACACTTCCTCTGGGGATTAGGCTGGATGCTATCTTTGCTCTGAACCCTGTTTTCTGGGATGCAGTTAAATTCCTTTAGCCCAGGTGCTTGCTGAAGAAACGCTAGCAAAGAGGATTGTATGTATGTATGCATGCATGTGACCGCTATCATTTTAAATCTCAGCTTTCCTTAGAGAGGCTGGTTAAAATGTGCTTCTGATTTTGGAACCAAAGATCTCAAGCTTTGACAACAAATTGACTAAAAAATGTACGTAGGCAAACATTTCTCTTAAGCTCATTTTTGTGTTTGCACATTGACTGCGTGCTCTTACAGACCTATCCTGAGCATGTGGAAAATAATTTTCCAGGAATCCACCTGGACTCACTCCTTTCACAAGAGACTTGGAAAAAACTCATAGATGTAACTGTGTATGCCCTTCTGTTCTCCATGTCCGTGGCAGACAGGACAAGAATGAACTGGGTAAACTCGTAAGCAAGGGAGACATAAGTTACGCATTAGGAAAATGTCTCCAGCAGAAATGACAGGCAAACACTGAAACAAACTTCCCAGACAGGGAGGGTTTTGAGAATAGATTACACAAACATCTGTCAGAAATGGCTTAGGTAAATCAGATCCTACCCTAGGGTAGAGGGAGATGGATCGGTGTCCCCTTGAGGTCTGGCAGCCTTATTTTCTGTGCGTGATCTCATCACTACCTAGGGAAGGGATCCAGTCATTAATTTGATTCTACACAGCTCACCCAGTTAATGAAGTTAGAGTCATTTGGATCACTGCTGACCTCAAAAAACCTAAGACAAGGTGGATGAAGAGACGCATGCAAGACTTTTTCTTATCTACAGGGAGACATTGTGCAGACATGAAACCACAAAGGAGCCAAGCAATAATGCCATTTTTTCCCCTTTGTATCTTTTTAGCTGATGTCTCCGGGAACTCTCTGCAGGGAAAGATCAGGACTCTGTGACCTCCCAGAATACTGCACTGGCGAGTCACCGTTTTGCCCCCCCAACTCTTACCAAATCGATGGGGCTTCCTGCGACAGAGGAAAGGCCTATTGCTACAGTGGCATGTGTCTCACATATAAAGACCAGTGCTTGCAGCTGTGGGGGCCTGGTAAGGACACTACTTGCAGCGAAATACGTTGTCCTTTGAACAGGCAATATTATGTGGCATCCTGCTATTATTCACCCTGTGTAAGGCAGTAGTACCTTTCGTACCCGTTATCAGTGGCAAAGTCTGAGGAGCCTTTTCTCCTGCCTTGCTCACTTGGAGGAGGCAGCAAAAATTTCCCCTGCTCAAACCATCCCAGAAGAAGAACAACTGAATGGTTGGCATGGGGTGAGATGGGCTGCCAGGCTCCACAGGAATCAGTCACATGAGTCTCTTCCATGCAGGAGCAAGGCCAGCACCAGACGCCTGCTTTGAGAAGGTTAATGCCGCTGGAGACATCTATGGGAACTGTGGGAAGGACATCTACGGCAACTACAGGAAGTGTGAGATGAGGTAGAAAGCAGAGTGACAGCCAAGAGTTGCTCATTGGAGATGTTTGTATATATTACAAAATTATGGGCCAGTAGATAAAACTGATCCATGCTTTGGTTTCATTCCCTCCCTCTGCCTCCTGGGAAACCAGCTGCGTCCTTGTCAGACCTAGAGCCCTTATGACTGAAACTTTAAGTTTACCGTTTTCCTGCCTTTTCCATTTTAAAACATGTAGTTGATATTTGTTCAAAGCAACGGAAGAGGGGATTTTCAAATCTGTAAGTTAAATGTAGCTTTTTAACTGAGACAAAAACTTCTTAGTCTTATCTGTGATTTTGTTGAGGCTGGCCTACGCATGGGGACAGTGAAATGGTACCATCAGTACCCGTCAGACACTGTTGCTTGGGCTAGCTCTTGGGAGGTGCTTGTTCTTTGTCATTGAACAATGACTCAAGGCTGCTGCTCTAATTTACGAGTAGAGCTGATGCCTGCAAAACATTCAGCAAGCCAGAAATAATCACTTTAGCCTTTCCTTTGAAATAGAGATGCTAAATGTGGGAAGATCCAGTGCCAGAGCTCTGCTTCCAAACCCCTGCAGTCCAATGCGGTGGCCATAGACACAACTATCCGCACGCAGAGGACGCAGCTGAGGTGCCGAGGGACCCATGTGTACAGATCTGAGAGTGAAGAAAAGGAGATGCTGGATCCTGGCTTGGTGTTGACGGGAACAAAATGTGGGAGCCATCATGTAGGTACAGTCCTGCCTGTAATGGCTTGGGGGAGGTTCAAGGTATCACTTTTCCATCTGGAAAGTGCTTTGTGGTTATCAAGCCATTCATTTCTTATCTCTAATGCCTTTCTAGGGACTTTTAATGTTTGTTAGAAAAGTAATTTCTTAGAGGCTTCTGAGAAGCAATAGAAGAATACACACCAAAGGCCATACCTTAAGCCTTTGCCAGATGAAGTCCAGGGCCAGTGCTAAATTTGGGATTCACTAGTTGGTTGAGGTTGTCTTGCTTAGAGGTGGGACACACAGTTAGAAATCAAGACACCTGAGAGCTCATTCAGAGACTTGCCACATGGGCATGGCCAAGCTATCAACTTCTGAGCTCGCACTCCTCTCTCTGATGCGCGTTAGCTGGGATTTAGGGTAGTGATTAAATATTTGCTTGGGAACCAGGTTAACTTCATGGCCTGTTGATCTGCCCAGGGTATTACTTGTATTGCCAAGGTGTCTGGGACCCCGCAAGTCACAAAATAACAGAAGGCAGTAATATGGTACATAACCCAAAGAGCTAACACTGAGTTTTTTGATCCTTTCTCTGCAGGTTTGCTTTGAGGGACGCTGCCAGAACACATCCATCGTCTTTGATTCTGAAAGCTGTAGCAAGAAGTGCCATGGGCATGGAGTAGGTGTCTTCTTCTTCAGCTCCATTTCAGAGTAAAGCAGGACGGGCTGCCATTCATCTGTGGATGGTTGTTCAGCTCAGTTCTGATACCACGCTTAGTTTGCTCCAGGCTTCTGCTTCTTGATTATTAATTTGCACATTCCTTTCATGTTTAATGCATTTTCTAGTCCATGAGTGTCCCTTTGACATAGGATTTAAGGAGGTCTAGAGGAGAGATATGAATTGCAATGAATGAAAAACAAGAAGGGGTAATCTTACAGAAAAATCTTCTGGGCCCAGTTTAGATTGAATAAAAAAAAATCAGACTAACTGAGGGAAAAACATAGTAAAAAGTCATGTTTGGAACAGTTTATCCCCCTGTGCTCTGCCGTGCCCCCAGGGGATTGAAAGAAAAGGCTGGGTGAGAATTTTTTATACCTTTTGCTGATGTTTCTGGCACAAAACGTCAGCATTTTTCCATCCCCATGGTCCAGTTAGGCAATGGAGAGGAGTGATAAATACAGCAGCGTGCAGCAGCGTGTGCCTCCTTGAGCAGGTTGGGAGGCCCCATGATGTACCCGACAACGAGAGGGACTTGCCCCACTCTTTGATTCCCAGTCTGCTTCATTTCTTACGATCCATGAAGCTGTAGGAAGTGATTGTCAGCTATTCCACAGAATCAAATTAAACGCTACAATTAGCACAGGACGTCCCCAATCAGAGGGATCAGCCCTGCCTCCAGGGGCTGCCTAGAGGATAAAACAAATAGCAATGGGCCAAGCAATAAACCTAAACAATAAGAAATCTTCATTGGATGGAAGGGAAGACTCGTGTCCTTCAGTTTAGAGATAAGAACAAGAGAAAGGCATTTCTAAATGCTGCTTTTCTCCTGAATCCAGGTTAGTGCAACTTCAGCTGAAGAACCCTTGTCTTTTGGAGAAAGGGAGAATTTCTGAGGAAATAAAAGGCACTTTCACTCCCTGAAAAGAAAATGTTTCCCTATTTATGCCAATAAGAGTTTCTTCTGTAGTGTTTTATCCAGCAAGGGCTTAATTTTTTTTTAGCTTGCAGATTCTTTAGGAGCTGGCACTAAAGTCTCTGAGTGTTCCCACTGCAGGTCTGCAATAACAACAAGAACTGCCACTGCGACCAGGGGTGGGCCCCCCCGTTTTGCAACAAGCAGGGGAGGGGAGGAAGCTTGGACAGTGGTCCCCCCATGCCCGAAGGTGAGTGGGACCAACTCTACTATGGTGGCACTTTGGAAGGACTCAAATTAGACTGGGAGCAGAGAGTTTTCCATTGAACTAACTCTGCTTTCTTGTCCTCAGGCCCCTCAGCGGTTGTGATAACTCTTGCAATCCTGGCTCCCATTCTCCTTCTCATTGGAATCATGTTTTTATTCTATTACCTGAAATGCTGGAATAAATTTCCCATCTGTTCTCTAAAGAAGACCCCTCAGTTCAGGTAAATTGTCAGTGCTGCGCCTTGTCTGCTTGCATCCACCCCCTTTCAGTGTCAGGACAGAAGAGAAATTGCAAAAGCTGTGAGGAATAGAACTAAATTCGTTTGTTGGTATAGTTGGTATTTGCTTCTCAGTTTTTGACTTCAGTTAAAATATAATGGAAAATACAGCAAAGAAAAAGGAGAAGACATATAAAGGAAATAACACTCTCTTCTTTCTCTCATTGTCAGTGATACCTCTGGAAATGGGCACGCAAACCCTGCCTTCAAGTTGAAAACCCCCCAGGAGCAGAGGAAGGTAGGGGCAAGGTCACCTTCCACCTCCCCGGGGAGAGATGCAGCTGCCCTGAGATGTGGGATGTTGTTCCCTCTCACACTGCAATTAGGGAGTGGATTTATCAGAGGATGGAAAAAACAGACAGAAATCCCCCATGGCTGAAAGTCAGTGGGAGCTGAATGTAGCATCTATTTCTAGCCATTTCCTTAAAGGTAGGAGCTGGGGTTTGACCAGGTCTGTGTGGCCGCTTGTCTCTCCTGATAGATCCTCTTCTGTCACATCCCCCTCTCAAAACAGTAGAAATCACAAACACTGGATTTATTTGCAAGCGTCACTTATAATGATGATACCTGAGTTACTCTGTTCTCTTGATTCCCATTTCTGGGAATCCCAAATTGTCCCAGTCTATCTAATCAACGCCTACTAGACATGTACAACCCACACCAGTGTTGCAGGCAATATTTTTTACTCTGTGGCTGAAAGACCTCATGCAGATCCTCAGAAGTGTAGCAGAGAGTAACAAGGTGGTTTGAAGTGGAAGTACCTAACTCCTGAGATTTGTGGATCTTCTGCACAGGTGATTGCCTTCCCTGAAATCCCATCGAAACCTCCTCCCCAGCAAGCTCCAGGGCTCCAAATAAACACGCAGCAGCCATCTGCCTTCTCCACTGGCTACAGCTGCGGCGTGGGGCAGCCCGCCGGGCCAGCGCAGCCGGCACCTGCAAAGGACGTTGCCCGGCGGAAACCCCCGAACAGGCCGGCACCTCCTGCTCCCAAACCCCCCGTCTCTCAGGTACGGAGTCACACCACTGTCCTGCAGATGCGGTTTGATGGGAGGCTTGGTCTGAGTGAGGCTGGTGAAGCCTCTCTAACCCTGGTGGGGCCATAGGAGTTACCGTGCTCACTGGTGCGTGCTCCATCTCACACAATTACTGGTGGCCCTCCTTGCTTTGTAGTGTAGCTGACAATGACCATGCTGGATGCTAGCACGCACAATTACTCTTAATTCAGGTCCCCCGATACCTCTGATCTGGACTTGAAGTCAGGTAGCTTGGATGACAAAGCAGCATTCACTTTAGCAAGGTGATCTGAACATTTTTTAGCTGCAAATCAAATAAATAATTTGCCAGGAATGAAAGGACTGTACAGATTTTTCCCTAAGCAAGCCTAGCATAGCTCCTCTTACCATTTGCATGTATTTTATCTCCTGGAAACAAGCCCTTCTGAGATTACCAGTCAGTGATAAGTCTGAGGTTCAGTACTGAGTACAGGATCTCCATTCCTTGGGATAGTCCCCCAGGTATCTTGCATTTGGCCATTCCTGGACTAAAGCCTCAGGAGCCTCAGACAAATTTTGATGTGGAGCGGAAATGGGACCTTTAGCATGTTGCATAGGGGCAGTCCGGCTTAAGTCTAATATTTCCTATCTTATGTGAGCATTCTAGCCATGAGGTTATTTTGAGGGTTATAAGGAAAGGGTATTGATGTACTTCTTTTGCTGGCAATTTTGTTCTAAGATTAGTACAGACCCCACAGTCTTATGGAAAAGATGGCAAATCACTCAGACTGACTTAAACCCATTTTACCGAAGTATTTCCCTACTAGCTTTATTAGGTTAGGGCCAGCAAAGAAGCAAAGGGCTCAGTAACAGGGGATAGCAGGAGGCTGGCTCCCAGGCAGTCTCTCTCTGAAGGATATAGAGGAAAACAAACCCAAAGTATTTTAGTAAATGGGATTTGTTTCTAGCTTCATTTTTTCTG